GGTGTTGGGGGGGTGTATGGGGGTATTGGGGGGCGCTATGGCAGTGTTGGTGGGGTTATTAGGGGTTCCGCACCCCCCTCCCAAAAACAAAAATTGTTTTTGCGGGGTTCCGAAGACCCCCGACCGGTAGGTGCTGACCAGTCAAGGGCTGCTGACCGTCAGGGTATGCAACACTGCTTTTTCCCCCTCCTCCTCCTCTTCTCAAAAGGGCGATGGAGTTGAGATATTATCGTAGAGGGTCAGATTGTTGACCCATTCTATATCCTACTTTGTGGAAAACGTGGTGATGCTCAATTGAGAGAATAGCCAAACACAGGCTTCCTGGAAAAAGTAGAAACCACGACATGCATGACAACTTTTCAGAACCCAAAGCATATCATCCACTGCCATGACAACACTGCCGATCTTCTATAACGACTTTTATGTTTCGTGAATGACACACTTCACTTCACTGCACAAGATCACAGGGACTTGCTCCCCTATTGTTCAATTCGCCCTCATTGATCTGTCTACAGCCTGTCAACAACCCAATCACTAGGGGGTCAAGGAGGCGGACGCTCCTACGTAGTGTGCCCTTTCCTGCCCTCATAACACCACTGTCCTCACACATTCTCCATGCAGTACCTCCGTGCACAAGGGGTAGTCAACTCTTTTGTCGATAAAGATCTTGGAGAGGTGCCTGGTACAATACATGCCAACGAAATGGATATCCCCTCTGCTTCCGAAAATGACGATTAACAGTTTCATGGAAGAATGCCGGGCACTGCTGGGATGAATTACGTTGTCTTACCATCCACCAATGCAAGTCTTGAGGACACAACGGATGAATGTGCGATAACATGAATACGCAGCCCCTCATCACTCTTCCACTCTTCCCCAACTCCCCGCACATATGCCCACCAGCCCAACATGATTCAGCATGCAACGGTTCACACTCTCACGTAGTCCATGACATTCATTCGAGTGCCAGATCTCATCACAAAGATCACCGGTTCTCTCCGCTCAATACTTCATAATTCTGCAGGTATATCCGATTGATCTGTCCAGAGGATATTTCAATCCTTTGCCGCAATTAACCGTGCTCAAAACGGTGGATAAAGACGGTAAGAAGCCACTACGAACCACATAGACGTTGACCATGGAATTCCAGCAAAGAGCATGGCCAGGTTGGCCAGATTTAGTAGAGACAATGTCAGCGTGATATTCCCTTAGAGAAGAATTGTCTGACCAATGACTGACTTCCAATGAATGAATTCATGTTTCAGGGGCACGAACCTATATGGCACGTGCGCAGACTTCGTCGTAAGTGCCGCAATAACGTCCCCGAGTGCAGACAGGGACTTGTTGATGGCCTGCGCCTCTTTCAGACGATCACCCTGTGCCTCACTCTTCCCCACACGCTCACTACCCGCAAGGTCGACAAGCCAGAGCTTACTTCTCGTCACTTCTCCTGTGATGTGGTTTTCCCCACGTACCATAACGCACAGCATGCTGCACAAAGATCATTCCACCCCACCTGCCAAATTAGCCCAACATATTCATTCTTCCAAGAAATCATCATCCTTAACCACCAGTAGCTTCATGTAATTCGCAGACAATCATTGAAACAAACAACCAAGACCCATTAAAGACAACCAAAAGATTAACGACTGATTCGTTGAAAACTAGCACAATCAAACTGCATCATATTTAAATTTAAAAACTAACACTGCTGCCTACCAGACTACTTACAAGCCCGAAGAATATTGGAAAAAGCTGAAGGGGTATGGAATAGGATGGAAGGTTTGGAGCTCCCGGAATCTCAATTCTACCATCTAACAACTATGGACAGGGAGCGTTTGCTCCCACATGAGAAAAAGGTAGCAGAGCTACATAGGAAGTCGTCCCTGTGGGTGATCTGGTGGGCAAGATGCAGTGAGACATTGGGAAACAAAAGAACAAAGATAGAAGAATCCTGGGGGTTGTCCTTCGGGACATCTGTTAAAATTGGAACGATACAGAAGATTAGCATGGCCCCTCCGCAAGGATGACACGCATAAATCAAAAAATGGTCCAAATTATTAAAAAAAAGAGAAAGAATCCTGGGGGTTAGCTCAAAGGTTTTATGGAAGCAGAAATAAGGGCAGTATAGAGGAGAGTGATAGCAAAATTGGACAAAGAACCGGATCCTTTGTAGAGGAACGGAATACACAGGGATTTTGAAGAGGAGTGGCTGAAGGAGGGGCAGATAGCTCGGATACAAGGACTGGATTTGAAATTTGAAAATTGGTGCGAGTGCGAGGAATGAGCCCTCGCGGGGCCCTAAGTGAAGGCGGGCTTGAATATTCACCAGGGGCCAAAATTCAACATTTTCATATGCTGGTACTCAGGCTATTGCAGCCCGCCAGTTGGTTGAGTGGACGCCTGAGCCGCCCGGAGCTGGGTCGTACAGTTGGCCCAGGCCTTGGAAGTTGCACCTGGGCACATACACCCAATACAGGGACGATACATCACGAAGTGGCCATAGGCCTATACAAAGTCAGCACTGTCGACGTACCTACCCCGGGTCCTGAGCAAATGCAGCAAACCGCCCAAGTCTGGAGACTCAGGCCGTGCCCAACTGTAAAGGGCCCAGGCCTTCAACTGTAGCCTTGGGCCTGGGCGCAGGCACTGGGGCCCAACCGGAAGCAACTGGAAGCTTCCAGCCAGGCCACCTGCAGCCACGCAGAGGCTGCCACTTCCATATAGGAAGGAGGGCAGCCAGGGTCGAGGTATTCTGGTCCACGCAGACAATGCGGTCACGCTGCTGCGCTGCTGCATTAGAAGTTGCGTGCTGCATTGCGCCCAGGGCATTCGAGGGGCGCACGAGAGGTGAGAGTGGCGCTGCTGGGCAGCGGCGCGCAAGCAGCCATAGCCGGGCTGCAGGGCGCTAGGGGGTAAGAGGGCGATAAGTGGTCTTCAGGAAAGGAGGCGAGTGTGGGTGGACAAGGTCTGATGAGGGGAGATGAGATACGTACCTGGTACATGGAAGAGGTCGGCTGTTGACATCATGTACAGTGGTCTTCCAGAGTCGAAGTGCGCCTGTTGCGAGAATGCTGATGTAGGTAGGATAGTCAAGTAGTGTAGGCTGGGCGCTGGGCACCAGACAGAGAGGAGTGACTTTGGATACTGTGTTGGTGTGACCTGAGGGCTTGAACATTGGCTCATTACTTCATTGTATTGCTCTTATTTGGATGGGATCTCGGTGCATTTGTGCTCTCTGCTTGTAAACGACTACTTGGACATCTGTGTGATTTTGCAACTTGGTTTTCTGTAGATTGTTCCCACTCATATTCCTTGCACTAGGGAGACTCAGAAAAGGCGGTGCGGGAGAACAAAGAAGGGGAGTACTTGGAGAAAGAGTAATGAAGTGCAAAAGAGAACTCTCAGTTGGGCCTCAGTTTAGGGCGGTACTTGTGGAGGGCAATAACTAGCAACAGCTATTACCAACAACAGAGTAAGAGGTACTTATACAAGCAAACAAATTGGCAGTGAGGGGGCTAAAGCAAGGTAAGAGAAGAGGTAAAAGGTCAACATAGGTGGTGGGGTCGGCCAGACAACTTACCCATAGCAAGCTGAGAGAGTCAAATGAGTCTGGTTCAAGTAGGTTTTCACTAGGTAAACGATGGGTGCAATACCGTAGTGGAATAGAGGCTGACAGGGCATATAGCGAAAGCAAGGCTAGCTTAGGGAAGGGTGAGTGGAGGTACATATTTCCGATTGGAAGTAATCAATGCCGCCGTCCACTCCCATCTCTCAACCACAACGGGGAGCAGCGTCATAAGTGTTAGCGTTGTAATGTTTGACTTACCGGTGGAATAGGGACTAAACTGATGCTCCCCTCCCCCACCAAAAAAATGAATAAAAAAAATAAAGGAAAAAATAAGCTGTTCAGGGGCCCTTCGACCTCAATGGTAGTAACCATGGTGTGTCATCTGTTTGTAAATTTTCAAGGACTTGCCGGGGGCAAAGTAACCGGACCAATTCTTCCCAGAATGATACGAAGCCACGCGATAAGGTGTGTCATCTGTTTGCACCAAGATAACCTCAGACACTACCTGGCAACTCTACCATTTCTGCCACCACAAAAAGAATGATACGACTGCTATTGCACCTGCCAAACGCTTACCGCTGTAAAAAAACGATGTACAGAGTTGCACTGCACATCATGTTGCCTTTGCAGAGAGAAGCTCAGAGCACTGTGATCACCTCCAGAGAGCTGACACAGAGATCTTTACATGTTTTGGAAAAATACCTATCTTGTCCTTTCAATCGAGAAAGTTTGGACCCACCTGAAAAATATTTTTGTCTGCATAGTGGAATTGGACAGTCATTGCCACTGGTTCAGGTTGTCAGCATGGAGAAATACAGCTAGGTTTTCCACAGCAGAAACGTACCATACAGTCACTGCCCTGCTTCCGAAGGCAATTGGAGAAAGTGCAATGATGTGACCTCAAGTACAGTGATTTACGGAAACGCACAGGAAGGGGCCGGCGGTGCTCAGGAAACATAAATCTTGCCAGAAAAACAAATTGCCAGATCTGAGCTTTCTTATCCGCAAAGTTGGCACAAACACATCAGCACTGGGGCCTGATGCTTAACCTCAGGGACTGACAACAGAATGACTAAATCCACTGCACTCACTGACATTCATTAACCCACCACTCCGTTCCACACGCGCTCACAACCCACTTCACAGCAGTTTGCATCACAACATCAATCTCAAAGGGGTTTATGCATAGGAAGATTTTCATGATCGGCCGGGGGGGTCTGACGCCCGGATACCTGGGCATGGGAAAAAATATATATATACTAGATGACCCGTTGCGGCTTCGGCCACAAAAACCGAAAAAGAGAAAAGCACAAAAGAAAGAAAACGCATAAGGAACTGCCCTATCATATGCCGCTTCTTTCACAATAAGAAAAAGAAGAGCCTGAGAGCAGACAAAAACCGGCGTGAAGAAAATAGCAGCGAATACCACCGAACATTCTTTTTTCTTTATCTTTGCGTGTTTTGTTGGGGGAGCAGTTACCTTTCCAGCATCATTTTTGTTTTGTGCTGTGCAAGAACTCTGGACTTTTCTGAGAAAATCCAGTCCGTTGTCCCGTTGATGTTTTTGCTAAAGATTCAGATCCAGACTTTGTTTGCTGTGTTCTCTATGTTTGTGATCAACCGATCTTGCATGTATGTGTGCCCCATGCTTACTTGTTGAGTTTTGACGCTATGTGTGTGCAAGTGCATGCGCATGTGGGTGAGTCTCAGTTTGGTGTGCTCGGACGATGTCATTGATGATTGGCCCGGGGAAGTTGTTGGGAGTCGCCTCCAACTATAGGAGTGCCTCTGATGTTAAGCAAGTTTTGCATTGTATGAATGAAACAATCAGCATTCGATCTGCTTGGCACTCGCTCTTCGGTTGGGAGAGTTGTCGGGAGTAGCATTGACATGAGAGCCATAATGCCGGGCGTGCATCTTGGAACATATCCAGGAAAACGAAGTAGCACGTGTCAGAGTCACATAATGGACAGCTTGCCACAGTCCCCCCCCC